CATAATCAAGTGATCTCTAGTTTATGAATATAATAATAAGACCCCCCCCCCCCCACCACTTATTATTTAATTTAATATGTATTGAAGGAAATTTTGGTCGATGTTTAGTAAATTAGTTTGTTATCTAAGATTTCTTGTCATAAAATTATTTTTCCAATTTCAAAATATGCCCAAAAGTATTAACCAAAAAAATATAAATGCTTAATTAAAAATTACACATCTCATAATATAAGTGATGATAAAAACGATATAAAGAAAAGCTTTGTAATAGTAGCTTTTTCCATATTACAATTTATAATACTCCAGAAAGAATGTGCGGACAATAACCGTTCTATTATAAGAATAATAATACAATGTCTAGGTTATTTAATATCTCGTAACCAAGCCTTCTGGGGAATAGGCAACAAGAAGGCAATATGATGGGCCTTAATAAACTAATTGCAGATTCCAAACCTGTGTCAAAATGTATTTACAACAAAATGAAGAAAGAAGAAGGGAGAAAAAAATAAGGGATTAAAATATAAATTAAATTCAAATCTATTATCATATAATAACATAAATATTCTCATTGAAATCATGAAAAATATGATTATAAAAATAATTCAAAAGGAGATTGAATCTAACAGGTGCTTAGTAAGATTTATTGAAAATAGTGAGACGCAGGCTAATTATTTTGTAAAAAATGAAACATTTAAACAACGATATAGCATTCTTTTGGCAGTTAAAGTATTGATGGAGAGAGGAATCCAACTACTATCTCTTGGTAAAGAAAAAATATATTACGCAATATAATTGATCAATATTAGATCAAATAATATTTGATAATTTTAGATTATGTAAAAAATATTCTTATGCATTTTAAATATCACAATTTTTAAATTTTTTTATATGTTGACCATCGCTGCGCGTAAGGCTAAGAACAGATAACTGTCCTCTTATGGAGGTTTCACTATAAATATTATAATAAAAGTAATCTAATATATAATATTGATATTATAAATAGGTATAATTAAAAAACCAAAAAATCAATTTTATATTATATGAATGTGATATTATAAACTGTTCCAATAGAATTTATTAGAAGTCTGCAATGGGAGGGTTTTTGCCCACAAGCCCGCTCGCCCTATATTAAAAAAAATTTAACCAGTCTGCCCAACCGGCCCATAGCTTTTAAAAAATATATCCACCCGCCTATTAGTCTAAAATTACTTAACCCGCCCGCCCATTAGACTAAAAAATACCCGTCCGCCATTATTTATAAAACAATTTTAACCCATGACCGCTTCTTTTTTTAAGGATCTAATTTTTTTAAATGATTCAGTTTCAGGGCTATATCCCTATAAAAAGTTTTATAATTAAGTACTTTATTAAGCATAATATATATTCAATTTAAATTACGGATAAGTATTTGAACTAATAAAATATTTAAGAAAAAAATATAAATATAAAATTAGCTTTTATTGATATTATTATAATACAAAAATAATAATGAATCCACATTTTCTGGATTAAAACAAATTCTTCTTCTAAAAAACATTCGAGCAATGCTAATTCTTCGTTCAGAAAATGCAATATTGCTGAAATTGTAATATATTTTTTTAGCTAATTTTGATACCTTTGATAAATCTTTTTATTGTCGTTTCCACCAAAGTAGGATATTCGTTTGTTGTATATCCTCTTCCTCAGTGAGATATTTAAATAAAAAGTGAAACTATTAATAATAAATTTTAGAGAGATAATTTATATTATTTGCTTATAAATTGTAAACTAAAATAAGTAGTAAATTATACAAATCCAACTCGTTACTTTAAGATTTAAATACGTTGTTATGTCATTAAATAAGGTGCTCTCCTCTGTAACAACCTATTCATTCCATCTGTTGTGGTTCAATTTTGACATGAATGCCATCTATTTCAAACATTGCATTTATAATTTAATAACCTTTAAATGAATTCTCTGCTTTTGGAGAAACGGATAAAATCAGATTTTCATCCTCATGTTATATTCTACTATACCCAACATGTTTTCGATATATCTTTTTTACTTAATTAATTTCACCCCCGATGACAACATCCTCAGTTATCGGATCTTTGGTATTAAAAATGTTGAAATTTTACGGAGCATATTCTTTTTTAATGTTCTACTTAAATGATTTTAAATAACAAATAAAAGTTGAAAATTTTTTAACCCGCAAGGCCCATAGTTTAAATATGTTTTAATCCGCTTGCCCGTCGCCCGCTTGTTATTTAAAAAAATCAACCTACCGCCCATCTAAGTAGGAGGGCTAAAAAATCGCCCGTTGCAGACCTCTAGAACTGATACCTATTTGTCTTAGCAATAAACCTGTCAATTTTAAAAATAATTCAATAAAACTTTATAAATTGAGAGGAATAAATTACGAATGCTTTCTTCAAATTTCATCAAATTCTATCAATAGGGTCCAAAGTTTTGCACATTCAAAGTACAAACAATTCGAACTTTCCAACATGATCACATGTCATTCACTCTTCAAATTAACAATTTCCTGTGATTGTGATTTATATTATGACTAGTTAGCCAACACAAAATCAACATTTTTATTTGATAATTTTTACAATTTGGGGTTAAATACACTCTTATTTAAAGTGTCAATATGTGAATTAAACATAATTTTTCCTTAGATATTATAATAATGAAACTCAAATTCCAAATTTTTTTTAATCGGGCTCAGGTCGGGCTGGAACAAAAAATTTGTGCTCGGGTCAGGTTCGGACATAAATATTTTTTTAATTTGAACTAGGTGGAGCCAGGGTTGCCAGATGTCAAGATTTAGCCATAATTCTCACGATTTCATACCTAATTTTTTACTTACCCACGTTTTCTCACACTTACGCTTTATCACGTTTTTTAAGTAAATTAAAATAATCACACTTAGTCTCACACTTTTTCTCACGTTTTTAAATTTTTTCAAAATATTTTTAAAAACAAATATAAAATTTTTAATTAATTTTATTTTAAAATATTTTAAAAAATTGTAGTATTTGTTAATAGTCCAACTAACCAATCATATTCATTGATCAATTACCCACAACAGAAATTCAATTTTTAGAATGTTTATCAAGTAAAATGATAATATGAATTTAAATAATTATACATTTCTTTTATGGATTTTATAAATCTTATATTAAAACTCGTAAAATTTTAAATGAAATAAATTAAGGGAAAATATTATAAATCTAAAAAACAATCATCCGTTTTCAATACTAATTGATGCATAGAATAAAGGTAATATAAAAACATTTCCCTTATTACTTATATACTTCAAAAAAGAATGGAATAAATGTTTTACTTAAAAATTTTTCGTCTGACAGTGAAACCCCTAAAGACATATCTAGATGCTTGCTAGAAAATTTAAAACTCGCTGAACTTGATATTGCTAATATAACGGCCTATTGTGCAGATAACGCATCTGTAAACTTTGGGAAAAATTAAAGTATTTTGACAGAATTGAAAAGCCCTAGTAATAATATTATACCAATGGGTTGTATATGCCACATTCTTCACAATTCGTTTAAAAAGGCCAAAATTTTTCTTAAATATGCTATTGAGAGTATAGTAGTTAAATGCTATAATGAATTTAGCAACTCGACAAAAAGAGTTACAATTTTAAAAGAATTGGTAGAATGGTGCAATTTTGAATGGTCAGCATCACTTCGCTATGTTCCAACACGCTGGCTTACATTAATCCCAGCGATTAAGCTAATGCTTAAGTATTTTCAACCCCTTAAAGAATATTTTTTATCATTATCAGCAACCCCACCAATTTTGAAAATAATTTTTGGAGATGATTTTGCAGAGGCATATTTAGGTGTTGCCCTTAACGTTGGTACTTTAGTCAATAACATAAATTTACAATTGCAATCTGAAGATGTAGTAGCAATATATATACATGATCTTATCCTAAAACTAAAGAATTCATTAAATTTAAAAATTCAACAAAATTTTTATGGGAGCATTTCTAAAACTATTTTACAACATAATAATGATGTAGAAAAGGCAATAAATTTCAAAAATGAATCAATTTATAAAAAATATTATAGAATATGTAGAAAAACGTTATGATATTATAGATAATATATGGAAATATCTTAGCCCTATGACATTAAAATAATGTCCAGAATTTGAACAATTACAAAAAATTATTAGTAATTATAAAATACCAAACATAGATACAGAAATTCTCTTTGAGGAATATTCACAATTTTATTCCTATTATGAAGAAAAATTATCAAAAAACTAAAATGGATGGATTTTCTTTCTAATAAAAACTCACCATTGATAGAGAAAATATGCAATTTTCTATTCCGCATTCAAATTCTTCATCAGAGAGAATATTCAGTCTAATGACTACTGCTTGGCAAAAAGAACGTCATCATTGGAAGCTGAACTTATGGTTAAACAAAATATAACTATTCATGCAAAGAGTTTTCAGCCTATCTCCACAGTGCCGATGGGAAATCTTTATTGCCTCTTTTAAAATCATCCACGAAATATAATATTAATAATTAATATTATGCTATATTTATAAACATGAGAAAATTATATATCATAATTGTTATTAGTAAATCTTTAAAATCTTGTTATATTAAATATAGCACATTAACAGATGAGTTTGCTACATCAATTACCCCGGCAGAAGGGCCGCAAATTGGGGGGTATGGGGGCGAAGTTTTCCATTAATTATTATAAAAGAAAAACTCACGTTTTCAAGTGAAGAATATCTGACAACCCTGGGTGGAGCTCGGGCTGCGAAAAAATCACTTTGGCTATATATGTGCATAACTTTAAACCCTATCTATAGATTTAATGAAATTTGCAGAAAATATTGATAATTTATCCCTCTGTCAATCTATAAAATTTTATTGAATTGTTTTTAGAATTGAAATATTTATTGGTAAAACAAAAAGAGTGTCAGTTCAATTGAAACATGGTGTATATATATAACGCTTGAATGCATATACCATCGGAATCTGTCCATGGACGGGTGGTTGCGTGAACCACAGGAAGTGTTTGTCCAGTTTCGAAATGAAGAAGTTTTAATGGTTCAATGAAGTAAGGCACCTTTTAATCAAATTATATTTTAAAATGGAGTGAAAATATTTATCGAATCATTTTGTTCTGATATCATTTTTTAAATATCGGTTATTGGTCGATATTTTTAAACTGGCCAAACTTATATATATAAATGGAGGAATAAAAACATTTGATATTGTTAAAATATCAGAGAATTATTTTTTAAAAAGATGCATATATCTTAATTAGAATAGCCTTTGCTATTTGTTATTGTTGATATATTTTTAGTTTATGTTATTTCCTATAAAGACCATAATATTATTATAAACGAATAGGTTTGATATCAGTGATCGGCGGATATCAACCTATAGGGGAGACTTGGGGTAGTCGGCACAGTGAACTAGATAGTTCAGCGTTATTTAAAATAGTAAAAAATTATTTGGGGTAACAATATTTTATATCCCTCAGGCCTCATCTGTTTAATTTATTTATAATAAATTAGGCTTTTGTTGTAAAAATTAAAATATTTTGACATCAAGATATTGGGTTTTATCAAAATTCATAAAATAAACATCATATGTGTGTTATTTCTTTTTAAATCATAACGCTAGTTAGCGTTAAATATGATCACATAAGTGAAACAGGTGCGTATGCAAGAATTTGCAATGAGGGGTGGGGGAGGGGCCTTTCCCGGCTTTGATCCAATGATTATATACATTTTGATAAAAAGGATAAATAGAATCAACAGATAAAATTAGATCATGGGTCATTAACTTTACATTGGGTTGATCTAAACTATTAGCCATTTTTAGCCAGCTCAATTTTTTCCTCATTCCAACTGTTATTTTTTTGACGAATAATAGCATCAATTGGTGGGTCTAATAAAGAAGGTGAGAATATGAGAATAAATGTTTGTTAAATCAGCCAAACATCTAATTTGATGATATGGATGAATATAGTCGATAAATATTTGTTATGTCAGATAAACCCCTAAGAGAATACGATGTTTCATAAGGAGAAATATAAAGTTAGTAAATAATATTAATATAAGATGAATACCGAAACTATAAGTAGATTTTAAATCCTAGCTATACTGAAATTTGACATTTAAGAAGCTATCATAAATTTTAAAAAATTATCAAAGTTTAATGTAAGTTTGAAAAATATTTAAAAATTATTACAGATTTAAATATTATAGGTTATAATTTAATTTGGAAAAATATTTTAACAAGTTCTTAAATGTTGAATGAAAAATAATTTTATACTAATGATATGTTAAAATGTTTTATAAATCATACACACACTGTATATTAAAAAATAATACTTCTGATTTGTTAGCCAGTTGTGAATGTTTAAACTAGTTGATTTAAAATTTTCAAAATTTAATACTCAAATATGCAAAAAAAAATAATTGGGTTTTTAATTTGTAAAAAATAATTTTTTGTATATAATATTATTTGCCATCATTTTTACATATTATGCATTTATTATAATATTTCAAAAAGATAACAAATCTTATTTTCTTCAAATTTTAGTATAAAATATATATTGTATTCGATTTTCTTAACTCCTGAGTGATAAATGGAAAAGTAGAATCTTGCATCAGATGAGAGGAGTGATCAAATTTTTCTTAAATAAATTATGGTTATTACTAAAATATCTATTCACTATTTTGTAAATTTTAATAAAAAAATATTTTATTACTTTTCAAGTGTTTTCTTTTGAATTTGGTTGTTATGCATTTCTTATTTCAATTATATTTACTGATTTCATTTACTATTTTTATTATGGCCTGATTTATAAAACTGTATAGTATTTTGTTCTGTTACTATTCCTTTTGCTCTTTCAAATAATGTATCATCTTTTTTAGTCCAATTCCATTTAACATTTTTACTAGTTTTATTATGTAATTCGGCGATAATTCCATGCAATTTTGGTAAGAACCGTGTATGATAGATTAATATACCTAAAAATGATTTTATATCATGTCTTTTGGAGTTATATATTATTATATTGCTATTATTTTCTTTTTATCTGGGTGTATTCCATTTTCATCCATTATGCATCCTTTAAATATAATACTTTTTCTTTCATAAAATTTATTTTGCTTGTTTCTTTAATCCAGCATTTTGTAATTTTTTGAGTCTGTTCAGTATCATTTTTTCCTGTGATTATAACATCGTCTAAATAAACTGCTGTATCTTTACAGTCAGCCAGTAAATCGTCCATTGTTCAAATATTATTGGAGCTAAGTAATCGTAAATGGCGGTAGTATCCATTTGGTGATTTGGTGTTACCATGTTAATAATTCTTGCGATTCTTCGTCAATACTCATTTGAAGATATGCATCTAGATCTAATCGATTAATTCTTCAAACAAGAATGTGAAAGTCTTTTAGTAAAAATTTATCCAATGTTACTTTGAAATCACCACATTATCGTAGTTCACCTGAAGTTTTATGTACCACTACCATTGGAGTACTCCAGGTTACTGTTGTTGATGGATCTATTTTCTTTATTATGTTATTTTATTCCAAACGTTTCAGTTCATTTTCAATTTCTACTTTTAAAGGCAACGGTACTCTTTTTGCTCGTAGAGATATTGGTTTTGTATTTTCTTCTAATTTTTTTATTAATCTTAATTTATTATCAAACACGGAAGCAATCTTTATATAGTTTTCAATATTCACGTTACCATTATCATTATTATTATATTTATTGCTGATCATATTGACTTTTATATTTGTTGATAACGATAGATCAAATTCTATAGTCCATGGAAATCCAAATAAATGTGTTTTTGTAACTAATAACGAAAGCTATTTTATTTTATCATCTAATTGTTTACATAAACTACTCCCTAATATTTATTGTATTGTTTCCATATGTAGTTGGAGCTCTAACCATTGTAAGTTTTGGCTTCCCAATTTTATTCATATTGTTGCATTAATGATGGTTACTGCTGAATCTGTATCATATTCCATTTTAATTTCGTGGTTGTTTATTAATACCACAATTGTTGGGTGCTGTCCATATTTGTAGACTTTTTTATTGATGAATCTTCGTCGTTACTATTGTAATTTGTACCGTAAACTTTTTCCCCAGTTTTACAACACACGGCAAAGTGGTTTAATTTCTTACATTTGCTGCACGTTGTTCCGTATGCTGGACAATTCCGAATAGCATGAAAACGATTACAAAAATAACACGGTTTCCTTATTTTATTATTATTGGTGTGGTAGTTATTATAACCTTGAACTAGTTTTCCATTTACGTATGTTTTATTATTATTTTGATATTGCCGATTATCATTATCATTTAATAGTTTATTATTATCATTATGTTAGGTCTTTTTGTTTTATAAACTATTTTATTATTATTTATTTCTCATCGCTAAAGCCATTTCTATAACCGTGTTTAAGCTTAACGGTTGCTCTTGGTCTCTAGTATCTGGGTATCTTAAATGTAGTTCATTATCTAGTTGCGACATATTTGATCCAGCGATTAATTGATCACGAATTCGCAGTTCTATAAAATCTTCTAATTCACATCTACGGGCTAGTTCCTTTATTTTTGTTAAATAACTCATTAGTGATTCTGTTGGTCCGCGACTTAATCTAATAAAATCAATTCTTGATGCCTAGACAGTTCTTTTATCTTTAAAAAGTTCTTTTATATAAATCTGCCCAAACCACATCATCCCCTTGGAAAAAGTAATTTTTTAATCTGTTATTATATTTATTCCTTCATATGCTATGAATAATTAAGTTGCGTTGTTTGAGGAATATTCTTTATGTTCTAAATATATTTAATATAATCCAAATAATCATCTAAAGAAGTTTCCTCTTTACGAAATTCGTTAAATGTAATTTTTGAAATATCACATATAATTTCTAACAACATATTATTTATTTATTTTTTTTTAAAACAAAAAAAATAATTCCATTTAATATCTAACTTGACCGAAGACCGCGTTTTTTTTATTTCGTTGCAAATTTTATATCTTTAAGAAACTTATGGTCAATAGTTTTTTTATTTTCAATCCTTGCATATATATATACTTTTCTATAATTATTCAATTTAACTTCTATAGGTAGGTATTCAAATTAACTGACCTTTTACAAATACGTTATATTATGACAAATACAGGTTTGCAGGTCTTTTATTTGGTGATACATTAAAAACAAAGACTATTAAGTGGTATAATAAATAAGTTTGAAGTGTTTAAAAAACAGAAATACCTCATTTATGTATTAGGAAAAAAATAGTTAAAGTGAATATTTTTTCATTTTTATAAACCTTATTTTAATTTTAAAAAAAAAATAATCGGATGAAATTTTTGAAAGATAAAAATTTTTAAACCCAGTAAGAAAATTTAGTATACAGATCCCAAACCAATTAATAAAATATTTATTTTTTAAAATTTAGAAAATATAAATTTCAAATATTTTTTTTCTTCAAATATAGTTGAATATTTTATTTTGTATATATTATAATAATCTATAATTGCAAGTGCAAACAAAATATAATAATTTACATAATGATTTATTATTGTGAGAAAATATTATATTTTAAAATTGTATTCTCGTTTAGTTTTGAGTTTAAGTGTTCCGAAATTGACATCTTTATTTTTATATAAATAGAGAAAAGATAAAAATATATTTAAAATATTGTATAAATTTATATTACCTTTAATTGATTGGTTGTCCCCGATAACCAAGTTCCAAAAAATTATGCATATGATTATAAAAATTTGTAAAATCGGTATGTACCGATTTAATATCGAAGTAACATTATTTACAATTTGATCTTTATTGTTTGGCCTTGGTATTATATTTGTTTTTCATGACCCCGAAAAAGTTTTCAATAGGATTTAATTGAGGTGAATATGGTGGAAGATATTCAATTCGATTTTTATAGCCATCAATAAGATGACACTTGTGTATTGCGGCATTATCCATAATGATAATTTCATCATTTGGAAGAATTGTTACTAATTCTCTCAGATAATCAAGCAAAAGGAACCCATTATAGGGTCCTTCAATAATT